CATGTTCCATTCATTTTGTGATGTTTAAATCATTTAAAATCCTGGTTAGTGTTGGAATTTTCTAGTAATACGTTTCTAGTTTAAAAGTGAATGGGATTTTGGTAAAACATGTTTTTGAAAAGTCTTTTATGCTCAACGAGGTTGTATTTATTTAGTCAAAAATACAGTAGAACTGTATTGTGAAATATAATTATAATTTAAAATAAATGTTTTGTATTTTAATATTTTAATGTTTTGTTTTTTTCTGTGATGGCAAAGTCTTCACATGTCACATGTCCTTCAGAAATCAGTTTAATATGCTGATTTTGTGCTCAAGAAACATTTCTAATTCCCAATGTTGAATGTTCTTTGAATAGAAGGTTCAAAGAACAGTGTTTATATTAAACTGGCACCTCTGCTTTTTCTTTTTCTTTTTTTACTATAAAGGACAGAGGCATTGTGATAGTTACATTTATAGTTAATCTGACATATCTAAAAGTTCTCACAAACATGGGGTTTGTGTGACATAATGCTTTTAAAATGATGTATTGTTTTTATGACATGTTGGATGAGAAAAGATAACAGACTGTTGATTCTGGAGAAAACCCCTGATATATCAGCCAATCATGCATTAATAAGTCATTGACGCTGCTGCAATCTATTATATGAGTCACTCTGACCATTATTCTGACCCCTTTCACTGGTCACTGCTAATATTAACGTTGTCTTTTTTGCCCTCTCTGTAGGCTGTTAGAAATTGTCAGCTACAAAATTATTGGGGTTCACCAGGAAGATGAATTGCTAGAATGTTTATCTCCAGCAGCCAGTCGAACATTCAGAATAGAGGTAAGGAAGAGCTGAAACACGCCAACCCTCAAATCCCATCATTCACTGATGTGCACAACAAAGGATCTGTTCCCTAGTAAAGCCTCTTAAAATGATTTGGCATCTGAGTTGCCACTTTTATTTGTGGGTGCGGTTCCCCTTGAAGCAAGTTCTATCTCTTTTGTGTCAGGAAATCCCTCCCGACCAGGTGGACCTGGACAAGGAGAATGAAATGCTGATTCCAGTTGCACATTTCCACAAGGAAGTCTTCGGGACATTTGGAATTCCCTTTTTGCTCAAGATCCGTCAGGTGTGTTAGCTGAGTGCATTGTGTAGGCGGGCAGCTGTCGTTTGTTTGCCGTGTAGGTGGATGGCTGTCATTTGTTCGGTTTGTATGTGTCGTGTCCGTTTTAATGCATGCATTTATTGTGGCAGGGGGAACCCTTCAGAGAAGTGATGAAGATAATTCAGAGCATGCTTGACATTCAGGAGAAGGAGTTTGAGAAGGTAAGAGAAGCTTTACAAATGTGTCCGATGTAATCACAATGTATCAGTGAATTTTCCAACCTGGAAATATTTTGCACATTAACCCTTAAATGCATACCTTTGGTCACTATTGTCCCAAGGTATGTTATGTTTTATTATGTTTTACTGCGCGACAATATTGAATTTCTCATGTCTCGAAGTAATTCTTCTTGATTCCACAATGTGGCATTGTCTTATAATCAATGATGGGAAAGCATCAATCATAATACTACCTTGTACTTAAAGTAAAAATGAACAAGTAACATCCTCGAGACTTGACATGGCTTAACGATTTCCTGCTCAGCAAGTGCATAATCAAATACTATTGTCGCTTGATGGTGGATCTAAAACATTGATCTTAACATTGGTTTAAAAAAAAGTATTTTATGTAGGATGTCCTTTTTTAAGTTGCATAGGATACGCTCGCATGATTTAATCTTCTGAAACTTGTATATGTTACAGAAATTGTTTATCCATAAATGCATGATAAAATGACTTGTAAAATATTGTAATTTATATTATATTATGACTTGAATGATTTTGTGGAAATAGTACAGTGCTTTGACTATTTAGTGCCTGAATTGTTAAAGCATACTTTCCATGCTGTTTATAATATTATGATAATATTTAAGAGATTATAATATAAATATGTAAATTGTAATAATGTAATGCGAAATACGTTTTGTTTAAATTTTTTTTGTAACTTATTGAAATAAGACAGTTTTATACTCTTGGGTAGGGCTGGGCGATAAATCGATAATAATTATTGTGAGATATAAATTGCCTCGATAAACGATAACAAGAGGTCGATAAATTATTTTTTTTTCTATTAAGATATTTATTTGGTTAAGGAAAAGTGACTGGAAAAGTGTAAAGAATTAAAAAACGTTAAGTGTTTGTCGTGTTCTGACCATAAAGAATAGTTTAAAACCACAATTAGCTGTCTGGTTTTTACAGCTTTCACATTGGAGCAAAAAGCTGCCTTTAAACTTGAAAGAAATACAATTTTGACATTTATTGTGATAATTATCGATATCAACTGATATGAGAAAAAATTATGGTGATAATTTTTTGGCCATATCGCCCAGCCCTACTCTTGGGGCATTTGGAGATCCATCAGTGTTAAATATAACTTCTGGATACTAAAGAACTGAATATGTACTAATGATTTTATATATATATATATATCATTAGTAAATAGTTAGAGCAGTCAATGTGTTTTTTTGTTTGTTTTTTTTTAATTCAGACGATATTTTAAATTAACATTGTTCTCCAATTAGCAGAACCGTAGTCCAGATTAAGACCTAAATTTAGTTCCACCCAGATTACCATTCCTAAAATAAAAATACATTTGACAGTTGACATGAAAACAAGATTAAACCTGTGTTTCATTTTCTTTTAGTTCAAGTTTGCAATCGTGATGATGGGCCGGCATCAGTATATCAATGAGGAAGACTACGAGGTGAATCTGAAAGACTTTGAGCCACAGCCAGGTATGTTACACCCCTTTGACCTATGACATCTCAATCAGTAGACACTGCGTTTATGTTTGTGCCAACTTTACTATGTTCTGTCCTTTCTCAGGGAACATGTCGCACCCGAGGCCTTGGTTAGGGCTCGACCATTTCAACAAAGCTCCAAAGAGAGGTCGCTACACGTATCTGGAAAAAGCGATCAAGATTCACAACTGACAAGCCCCCGCTCTAACCGACCATACTAAAGACTTTAACCAAACCTCTTGTGTGCACCACTTTTAACACCTGCTGTCTGGGTACACAGGCACCATGTATGAAGTCTTCAGCGAATGGAGTGACTGCTGATGCTCCTGTTTTCCTTTTTGAGGCTGTTCGATTTGGCTTCTCTAACTATTGACTGCCTATTTGTCTGGAAGAATGAATTTGATTTTAACAAGAAAGGGGGAACAGTATGTCCTAGACTTTTGTTTTGATTTAGATTTTTTTTGTTGCTTTTGTTTTGTTTTTGTTTTTTCTTTTTAAGCCGCAAATGGCTGAGGCTTTTGCTAGTTGCCCTGACATGGTTGTCTATTTTCTGGTCCCTTAGTGCAACTAGTCAATTTTCATGTTTACACCATTCTTCTTTCTCACTTAGTTTGGTTGGAGAAATTCAGTTTGTCTTCTCTGGAAATCCTGTATAATAAAGTAAAGAGCCACAGCATCCGTTTTAAAATAAATAAAAATGAAATAAATTGTCTGTTCTTCATCTTGCACGTTGGCACTTAATATCCAAGGTTTTACATTTCTCAGCGCTGTTAAATGTAATCTTTGGTTGGAGTTTGATTTGCATATCCCTTTGGTTTTTTTTTTTTATCCCTTTTTTTTCTCTCCCCATGAAGTTTTGTTTCCCCCCTGTTTGTTAGCTCCTCTGTCACTGGCTGTGGGATTATTCTGATGGTAAGGGAGGGGTCGCTTTGCTGACGGCTCCAGATTCATTGTACTGTTTGTTGGCACGAGGCTACAGACGTATAGAAGACTGGTTTGGGACTTAGAGAAACCAGCATTAATGAACTGATACCATTGTTTTTTTGTTTTTTTTCTTTAAGCACAGAAGGAATGCTCCCTAGTGCATAGTTGGCTTTGTGAAAACAATTAAAATTGTATATTTAAAGAATGAACATGTAAAATTTAAAACACCGATTTGTTGGGTACAGATCCATTCAGATGTTCATATTCATGGTGTAGTTTTATTTTGGATCCTGGCAGTTTCATTTGGTCATTATTATTTTTTTCCCTTAACTAATTGCAACAGTTCGTCTCGTTTAAGTGCAGTACAAAGAAGACCTGCAGATCACATCTATCTTTTTTGATTTTTTTTCTCTTCAGTCTAATTCCTCTGTGTAGCAGCAGTGTATGACAACTCTTCCTGTATATTGCCTTTTTGCTGGAAAATGTATGTTGAATAAAATTTTCTATAAAAGCTACCACCATGGCCCTTGGAAGAATTGTGACTAGACACTGTTCAGATTGTAATGCTGTGCTTGTGTCATGTAATATGAAGATTTCAGTGTGTATAAACAACATGCAGAATTCTCATTAAGATATTGCACAGACACGTTTCAGATTTATTGTTATGACCGTTCCATTTAGATGCACATTTGACATTATTCTAAAAATTCAGACTAACAGAAGTAAAAAAGAATGCTAATCAGCAAGTCAGCTTTGGCAGTATGGTAATTAAAAAAATGAGTTTTGAAAGTATGATTTCCATTATTTTAAGAGATCTTGTTGGTTCTAAATTAAGTGTTCTCAACCTTTTTGACTCCAAAGCCTCCCAGTGCCCACAGCAATATTCAATGACCCCATGACTTTTTCCCAGTTTTTTTGTAGTATATGCTAGATGAGGATTTAAAAAATATATATATTTTTTTTTACATGCAGGTTGTACCCAATAAAATATATTGGATCTTGACATAACTACAAAAATGTCTATTTTTTTATTTATTTTAAATATTCATTTACATGACTTTTTAAGTTCTAGAAATCATACTTTCAAATGAAGACACCTGGTATATCCTGGCTTGTCTACACTTTTTAAAAATACAATTTCAAATAGGTGTACGGTGATGCCGTGGAAGAACCAATTTTGGTTCCCCAAAAAAACTTTCATTTTAAGACTTTCATTTTCTCATTTTAATAATCTAAAGAACATTTTTCCATTATAAAGAACCTTTTGTCCAACTGGAAAGTTTCCATGGATGTTAAAGGTTCTTCATGAAACCAGTTGATGCCAAAATTACTGATATTTACATTATGTGATGTAAAAATAAAATTTTTGGTTCCACAAACTCCTCAACCCTCTGAAGCCTTAACCCTGAGTCCTTTATAGATATACAATCAGAATGAGTATATTCATATTCATTTGAGAGTGTAATAATGTAATAATAAAGACTAAGCCAGATGAACATCAAAAGGTTCTGAGTTACAAAGATTGCAAAGCATTAGTTTATACAATCAAATTTGTACTAGATGACATCTGTGTTGGCCCGAAAGTGTCCTTCATGTAGTTTAAGGTGCCATACAAATCCATGAGTGGTGTTAAAATTGGGGAAGGGTTAGGATAAGGGTTAGCAGCATCGCTTCTTTTCAATGTGCAGGATCTTATTGCATTTCGGGCATGTGTGATAGACGTCTTTGAAAAACTTCATGAAGAACGGAATCAGACAGCAGCACAAAATAAACCTGGAAAAGAGGAATACAGTTTGGCTTTGATCATGCGCACAAGATTTAATATTTTTAGCTGCAAATTCAAATGGACTCTCACCCGCACAGGATGAAGAGTAAGCACATCAACCAGGCGTAAACCCCCACTTTGTAGGTGACATTGGTTAAGACCTGCTGTTGGCAGGTTGTGCAGGTGGCCATTCCTGGATTGCGACCCAGCTCATATGATTCGTAGCTGACGAATTTGTTTTTGGCTTCCGTTGACTGAACTACAGGAGAAGAACGTGTTTTAGTAAGTGTTTTTTTTTATCTCTGATTTTTGTTTACCATTATACAAGTTTTCATCCAATAATGTGTTATCTATCTTATATTTAGTATAACACTAGAGGGTCGTTGTAGACAGGAAGCCTTGATTGTCACAAAAGTTTTACAAGTAGCCTAATTTGTACATTTGTTTGTTCCACCACGGAATGAAAAATGTAAAGGTAAATACGACTTTTTATCTAATAATTCTGACTTAATTTCTCACAATTCCAAGTTGACATCTCGCAAATCTTACTTTTTTTCCTCAGAATTGTCAGTTGTGTCAGACAGATCCAATTCCTTTCGCAAGATTAGGCGCCTCTTTAAAGCGATTTAAACCAAGAATTCTGAGGGGGGAAAAGTCCAAATTGCGAGATGCAAACTCAGAATTCAGAGAAAAAAAGTTAGAATTATGAGATGTAAACACAGAAATCTGGGGAGATTTCAAGATAAACTCAGAACTGTGGGAAATAAAGTCTGAATTGTGTTATAAACTTGCAATTCTAAGAACGAAAGTCAGATTTTATGTAAATATATGGTTTTTATTATTTATATTATTATTATTTTATTCCATGACAGAAACGGGCTTCCATAAACCCTGCACATTTTAGTTTGATTTAAATGTTGCATAAAAGCAATATAATGACCTAGCAATCATCCAATAGGCCTATAGTTAGTGTAGCCTACAGTCAAATCCTGACATTATCAAGCAAAACATGGGTAATTCTTTCCGCGTGGTCTTTACAACTAATAGTTTTCCAAAGATAAATGACAGGTAACAGCAGGCTCACCAGGTCTGGCTGATTCCATCTGGTTTCGAGAATCTTCAATACTGGAGCTTGGTGGGTTGAATGGAGTGTGCACATGGTAGACCTTGACATTGGAGCCCTTGGCACCCTCTACTGTTGATGCCAAGCAAAAAGATACAGAGAGAACATTTATATTTCTGTAATATATATTTATTTCAGAATTCCACATTTGCGTCACACACACTGGCTTGATTGTTTTTCCATTATTATGAGTCATTCAAAATGAACAATGATAATTGGCTTACCTGGAATGACATATGGAGGTGGTTCCCCAGTTCTGTTAGCACTCATTCTGTCTTTGGCTGGGTGTAAACTGCTGGGACAAAATAAAAGTGTTAATATGTGATGTGATGTTTTACAATATATTTTTTCATATGCTAAAAAGTGCTCAAATGACTTCTGTGCAGCATACTATTCATACTGTTTACAAATGTGATTATGCATTGGTAACTTGAATTATCTGTTACTGGTAAGTAAAAACATGAGATAATTCTCAGTAAAGATGCTGAAATGGGCAGAACACCTTCAAAGGGCAATGCCATGTCAACTCTCACTTTCTCAAGGAAATAACCTGAACACTCATGTTCTCTTCTTCCAGCTCAATAATCATCAATATATGTGTAGCTGCCAACTTCCTGGTGCTCAGACTTGTTTTGCCAAAGTGAGTAAAACGCAAACATATTACAAGTCATGTGGCATTTATTTCCATGATTATATGGTAGGGTAAACGCCTTGATTGATATAGACATCCACCCAAAGACAGAAGTGGAATGTTGTTCTGCCGCATGTCTGGCTGCGGTACTAATACTCGAATAATCAAACCCTAATGCTTCTCATGGAAAATAGGAGCTGGTTAAACTGACAATTTCTCAACAATATGATTTTGTGTATAGACCAAAACACACACACACACACAAGCTCCAGCAACTGTGTTAGGAATTAGGGATAATTTGGACATAAAACAGCCTGAGTTTGTCATTTGTTATCATTCATCAGATCTCTTAGATTTTCTCTTAAATGAGATCTTGTTTTCACTTCTAGACAAGATTTTTGGATTACACTGGTTTACCTCTCTAACTACATATATCAGATCAACACCAGAACACAAAACATTTCCACCAAATGTATATGTCAGTGCGGATATAAATTATTGTAAAGTTATTTTGATTATGTTTAGGTGTGTATCAGTAGGAGGTGACCTGGAAATGTAAAACAGCCTAAATACGTCAGCTGTTTTACTAAAGCAAAAGCACACAAAGTCAAAAAGCACCATTCATTGGTCAGCTTTGATCAAAGCATTCACTGCGCTGTCTTTTTTATTAAATGATGCATTTTAGCTCCTGCTGTTCAGCCATAACAAAGCGTAACAGTCAAATCATAACAAGGCCTCACAATCTTTAATTTACATTTATTAAAATTTTTGCTTTTTTTTAACTCTTCTTCTATGCTTCAGCTATTTCTTAAATCCCTCTGTTCTGTCTTGTACTATTCCAGAATATATTTTTGAAACTGCATTGTTAGCACTTCTCGTCTTATTGCCTCCTGAAGATGACTCACTTATTGTAATCATCATTTCTAAGTCGCTTTGGATAAATAAATGTAAATGATATTTAATTTACCCTTTGATAAATTGCTTTATTATTATATATTACAACAATACCATAATCTGTTTGTGAACAAGGACAGTTACTGAACAATGCATAACATGTATGAACATTATTTTTTAAAACTTATATGGTCTTCTGATTTGAAACAAATCAACCTTTAAATCATAATAAATAACCTTAATCAGCAGTCGCTGAACATTTGCCATTCAGAGTTCTAATTAAATTCAACCAACAATTCAAGATAAAAACCATAAAAGGAATATAAACAGCAGTGCCAAACTGTTTAAGTTTTTAGCTCATTTTTACTTCCTAATCTTAAACCTAAATCCAAAAGCGCTCCAAAACTCCAGACAGTCTAGTTAGCAAAGTTCAGTGCACAGCGAGCTTTCTTACCTGTCTTGTTGAGGCTGTCGCTGATGGTTAGACTGAAACCAGTTTCTATGGCTTTTACAAGCTTTTCATAGACTCTCGACTACTCCACCCCACCTACTAATACATTAACATATTCTGTCACCTTTTATGAATGCTGTTATGACAGAAACAGGAAGAAGGCTATATTCTTTCCACATTTGTCACTGAAAACGTCTCTGAATAACCAGTTTTTGCTGATAGCAGTCAATGGCGGCTTATGTGAATATAAACATACTACTTCTCGACTGAAAATGACTGAAAAATCAGCAAATCAGTGTATTGTGGTAGCAGGTGTTTTTTTTTGTTTTCACTTTTCACACCTGGCATTTCCACCTTAAAGACTTTTCTACTATAATGTGAAGTTGGCCAGAAAATGTGGTAGCCTAATCAGAACTAAACTGAAGTTGTGTGACTCATTTACTCATTTATAGTTTTGTTGAGATTGATTTTACTGTCTTTGGCATTCCAGAGCCTTGACTTATGTATTCAATTAATAATAGCTTCAAAACTTCAAAATTCTAAATTAACCAAGTATTTTCTTATAGTATGTTCCTACTGCCTGAGGTGCTAGGATGGGCTCCAACATCCCCCTTATCCTATACAGGCAGTTTTATGGGTGAATGGATGGAAAGAATGGAGGATGGATGGATATTAGATGTGTAAAAGCCATTTGACAGCTGTTAATGAAACTTTTGATTTTAATTCTGTTGTATCGCATAGTACATATTCCCCTAGTATATTTGAATGTTGATACAGTAATGTTAGTGTCATTGTGACCCCCTGTGAAGATTTAAATCTGGTGTCTCTTGAGAACATAATCTTATAATCTTACAATAAGATTCAACATATCTTTACAGAGTCTATTAATCTAGGTGATGTTTTCTTATACATCTACTAATACAAGTTGTATGAATTAGCATTAGTTGTATTATAAACAAGCACAAATTAACAATGACCAATGGTATATTTATAAATGACCATAGATTATTAAATGCTAGTTTGTTCATTGCATTAATTAATGTTAACAATTTGAAGCTTATTGTTGCCCATATTTTTAATAGAAGATGTGTGATCACTGTCAAGGTGAATTTTTGTAGCGTGATTTTAAAACGTGAAAATCATCAAAGCACTGTGTTCGAATCAGAAGATCCGCATGCCCGGGTGTGTCACCTCGTGAGTGTGTGTTTCATGATTGTGTAAGGGAAGGCAGTCTTTTCCCACCTCTAAACACATCCTGTAACTCTCTGCGCACCTTGCAGCGCTCCTGTCATATGTCTTCATTGTGCATTTGTAACACCCCTGTGGACTGTTTGTTGTGGTTTCTTCCCCTTTTGTTGGTTTAGCCCGTTCAATCATTACTTAATTATCCTCAGTGTGCTCACCTGTCTGCCCCTCGTTATCTGCCCTATAAGTTCCTGTCTCGTGTATTCTAGTATTGTCGGTTATTGTGAATGTTACCCCGAGTGT